TAGTAGACAGGGAGTGATGAGTTTCCAAACCAAGTAAAATGTATAGTTAGTAGACATGGAGTGGTGGGTTACCAAACCAAGTGAAATGTGTACGTAGTAGACAGGGAGTGATGAGTTTCCAAACCAAGTAAAATGTATAGTTAGTAGACATGGAGTGGTGGGTTACCAAACCAAGTGAAATGTGTACGTAGTAGACAGGGAGTGATGAGTTTCCAAACCAAGTAAAATGTATAGTTAGTAGACATGGAGTGGTGGGTTACCAAACCAAGTAAAATATGTAGTTAGTAGACAGGGAGTGGTGGGTTATCAAACCAAGTAAAATATGATGGACTGTTCAACTTAGTAATATATATAATAATTCGATGACGAGGAACCCAATTTGAGACGAATAATGGTTGGAGACGGCTTGAATGGGTAATGAAGAAAAACTTTAATATAAGTTTAACACAAGTTAAAGTGTTTCTTCATTACCCATTCAAGCCATCTCCAACAATTATTAGTAATATATGATAGTGTGATCAAAGGGAGCGGTAGTTGGCCAAATCGAATAAAATTGTTTTGCTCTTTTTGAACGAGCAGTATATCCTAATATATTTGTTTTAAACGAGCAGTATATCCTAATATATTTGTTATATAACTCCTTGTTTCTCATAGATTGGGATTAGATGAATAAAAAGTAAACTGATCAATCCTATTGTCTGCTTGTCCTTTTACATAACCAGGTTTAATCATGTGACCGATGAGAGATCCTGCATATGTAACATATGTTCCAAAATAACCTCTGCTCTGTTCATGACGTCGCCTCTGGAGTGGTCACAAGATGGCCTTGTATATATTTAGTGATAGTGGCACGTGGGCACGGGAACAAAGCTCTCCGATTCTGCCAGGTGTGGTCCTCAAGAAAGAATGAAAAACGAACGCAGGGCTCTAACAGCTTGTACGCAATGTGGACATTTTTTAAACCACGTAAAGCAGAGCCACATGGTCACACTTCTCGGACACCTGAGAGTTTTTACCGTTCGCTAACGGTTTAAAATGGACAGCTGCCATGGTCACGTGACTAATTCCTCATATTGTTATGCCTTTTTTGTTGGTTTGCTGCACAAGAAAAACCATCTCAGATCTCTTTTTTTGACTGAACTGTTTGATGTCATACTATTATTGAATGGACTGTTTATTTGTTTATATTCATAAGCTATGTCGTCCCTGGTATGTATATGTTCAATATCCACAAAGAGTATAATCTTTTTTTTTTTAGAAAGGTCGAATATTGTTAACAGAAGTAGATACTAAACAAAGTTTGTTTAAACACGAAGTTGCGTTATGGGCTCTGATGTACTGTGCCGACCCCATGGATCGATCCCCTAATTTTAGTGACATGTGCTCTCAAGCTGAACCATCCGGAGCTTCACACCAGGTCACATGCTAAGAGATAAACTTATTTTCATTTTTGTTTCTTTCTGGCCCTCTTACTGAATTTACCAGAAGTAAAACTAAACTGTATTGATGCTGAAAATTCATGACACAGGACAATGTCTTGTTTCGTACCGAATAGTGAGCAAACAGTTGCTTACGTCATCGCATTCCCAATCGTATCTCAGTGCATTGGCGATTCGGGCAGAATGAGAAGTGTGTGATATATATATAAGGATCCCAGCACTAGCGGAATTAACTGAACAAATGATGAACTTTTTTTTTCTTTTAAGATTTTTTTTCGTGTGTGATTCAAATGTCGTTATAGGGTTCTGTAAGACAAAATCAGGAAAAACTTTAACACAAAATCTGTGATATCAGCAAGATTCACATGATCTCATGTTCAATTGATTGTTAACATGATATCTGTTATACCAAAAAAGATTCACATGATATCATGAGCAGTTGATTTTTGATAATTGTTATATAAGAAGGATTAACATGATCACATGTTCAATTGATTGTTAACATGATAATTGTTATATCAGAAAGATTCACATGATCCCATGTTTAATTGATTTTTAACATGATAATTGTTATATCAGAAAGATTCACATGATATCACGATCAGTTGTTTTTCATAATTGTTATATCAGAAGGATTCATATGATCCCATGTTCAATTGATTGTTAACATGATAATTGTTACATCAGAAAGATTCACATGATCCCATGTTCAGTTGATTGTTAACATGATAATTGTTACATCAGAAAGATTCACATGATCCCATGTTCAATTGATTGGTAACATGATAATTGTTATATCAGAAGGATTCACATGATATCATGTTCAATTGGTTGTTAACATGATAATCATGTTCAATTGGTTGTTAACATGATAATTGTTATATCAGAAGGATTCACATGATCTCATGTTCAGTTGATTGTTGACATGATAATTGTTATATCAGAAGGATTCACATGATCTCATGTTCAGTTGATTGTTGACATGATAATTGTTATATCAGAAGGATTCACATGATCTCATGTTCAGTTGATTGTTGACATGATAATTGTTATTTCAGAAGGATTCACATGATCTCAAGGTCGGTTGATTGTTAACATGATAACTGTTATATCAGAAACATATACAACGAGGTAAAACAGACACCATGTAGAAACAGAACCATGAATTTTAGGGAGATAAAACCAACAGAGTCACGGATTCACATCATATACATAAAACGCAGTAAAGAACAAGTCCTAATATCACTTACACATATTACAGTAAAATATCTTACTTCCATTAAAGTGAGTTTTAGAGTAACTATTACAGTTTTCTTCTTTGTACTCACTGACAGAGCCGTCAATCACGTGGTCGTGGGCGGTACCTGTTTAACGACTTAACCTGGGCAACATCTGGTATGTTGTGAGAGGGACATGGTAGTATTATTGACTTCAAACTGACAACCAGAGTATAGATAACTTTTACGATCTCTTGTCGGCAGCCTTCAAAATTGAATTTTTAGTTGATAATATAGTAGGACCATTATGTGTTTACTGACTGGAAGATTGTTCGGATACTCTTTAGGGGCATGACGTCACGAGGAAATGATATATCTCTTACTCGTCAGTGAGTGTTTGATAATTTAAGGCAACAAGTTCAATTAATCCGAAAACAAAATTAATTTGTTTTCAGTGAAACTATGACATAATTTCTCAAAAGAAGAAGAAAAAGACAGAGAGCCGAAATCTTTCTCTTGTCACTTTTTAAAATAAGACGAGTTTTTCTTTTTGCTGTCATATGCTTCACTTATCACATTAACCGGTTGGATTTCCAATCAGCACAGTCAGTAATAAGACCTGGTCAACTAAGGTCTTATATAATGTACGTCACAGCAAAATACAAGACTGGATCATGTAAGTTGTAATATCATTTACGTCACAATAAAATACAAGCCCAGATCAAAGAAGTTCTAATATATGATTTACGTCACAGTAAAATACAAGACTGGATCATGTAAGTTCTAGTATATGATTTACGTCAAAGTAAATACAAGCCCAAATCAAAGAAGTTCTAATATATGATTTACGTCACAGTAAAATACAAGCCCAGATCAAAGAAGTTCTAATATCATTTACGTCACAGTAAAATACAAGCCCAGATCAAAGAAATTCTAATATATGATTTACGTCACAGTAAAATACAAGCCCAGATCAAAGAAGTTCTAATATCATTTACGTCACAGTAAAATACAAGCCCAGATCAAAGAAGTTCTAATATATGATTTACTTCACAGTAAAATACAAGACTGGATCATGTAAGTTCTAATACATGATTTACGTCACAGTAAAATACAAGCTCACATCAAAAAAGTTCTAATATATGATTTACGTCACATTCCCAACTAGATGTGTAGTTATCTTAAAATCAAACGACAGATATACACACACATCAGTAGAACAAAAGTAAATATAAAAGAAAGTCAGTAATTTGAGGGTTAAAGTATAAAACAGAAGATCAAATCATGTGTAAGAAGTAAAACCGACTTTCCGAAACCGCTCGGGTTTAAGATTGTCTCTTTTTTTTATTGCTTTTGTCTGTGTTCCTACGTCCTTCCTAAAGTTATTTTGGTCACACCCCACTATGGGTGTTTTATTAGTTATGATAAGCCTCGGAGCAAGGGCCGATCGTACAGGGTTACTATATTAATAAACCCACTTTTACGGTACAATGAATAACATATTAATTTCAGGTGATTAAGCTATTGCACTCAGTGCGTGATAGCACACGTTATAATTATATTGACAGAAAGGAGAACGTACAGCTGGTATAGCGATGGAGATACAAGGGGAGCGTGAGATTTCTTCCCACCAGGAGCCGCTGACTGAGTGTTTTGTTGTAACTCCGCGCTTGAGTTACCTTATTCATGCTCCAAAACCGTAAAGTTAGTCGCCAGGAATAAAGAAAACCGAGCCCAGGTGTGATGGTGAGGAGTGGAAGTAAGCTAAAAAAAAGCAAAGTCAACCCTAAGACACCGATTAGTAAAGTCACAAAAAACGGCACAGATACAGATGTTGGTGGGAAACAACTCGAGCACCAAGGATCTTCTTTCATATAGGTTATATTTGTAACTATGGCATCACGATAAAAGAAAACGAAACTTCACTAACTGTGTATATGATCTGTACACGCGTAGTTTAATGGAGAAGAAAAATAATCTTAACTGAAGCAGAGAAGTATAGGAATATATATATCTAACATACTCACAAATTATGTCTCATGTCTATAATTTCATATCTATTTCTGAAATTAACTCTTATTTCAACATTTCACGTATATTTCAATATTTCATAACATAAAATTAATTATTTACACACTGAACCATCTGATTTGTTAACACTCTGGACAAGCGTATTATTTACACACTGAACCATCTGATTTGTTAACACTCTGGACAAGCGTATTATTTACACATTGAACCATCTGATTTGTTAGCACTCTGAACAAGCGTATTATTTACACAATATCCCAGCTGATTTGTTAACACTCTGAATTAACTGATTAATTTACACACTAAACCATCTGATTTGTTAACACTCTGGACAAGCGTATTACTTACACAATAAACCAGCTGATTTGTTAACCCTCTGAATGAACTGATTAATTTACACACTGAACCATCTGATTTGTTAACACTCTGGACAAGCGTTGTTAACAAATCAGATGGTTCAGTGTGTAAATAATCTCTGGACAAGCGTATTACTTACACAATATCCCAGCTGATTTGTTAACACTCTGAATGAACTGATTAGTTATACACTAAATCATCTAATTTTTAACACTCTGAATGAACTGATTAGTTTACGCACTAAATCATCTGATTAGTTGAACATTGAAGGTCGTGGTTAATTTACATACGTTTTAATTTTTAAGGAGTTTAGATATTCCTATTTTCTTTATTTATTTACACTGGCTACTGTAATGTAATTGCAGTCCTTGTTGCTTAGTTACGACTTGAAGTTACGGTATGGCGGTACCAAAGTTCTAGCACGTGCCTTCGTAGCTTACAGGTACCAGCCAACGAACACAGGTGACGGAAACGATCTTATCCAAGAACCCGAAGACAGCCAGTAAACGGATATGAATCATGTAGCTAAAAAAGAAAGAAAGAACACCAAGGAAGGTGTAGGTTTATAATATTCACTGTCTTAGCCTGAAACACTAGAAAACAGGATAATGGAATGGGCTTAATGTTCCATGAAACAGAAATCACTCCTCTGGATCGAAAGAGAACAAAGGTTTGAACTGGTGTGAAAGGCTTTTTATGGAACAGTGATTTCAAGTGGTTTCGCCTAGTCATCATCATATCTCTCCTATGATTGGCTGTTGCAACACTGGCTATTCTCTCTCTCTCTAGGGAAAATTGTTTAGAAAATTACAGACATATTTATAATCCAAGTCAAGCGTAGAAAAATAAATACGCAGAATAGTTGACATAAGCAGATAAGGATAGGGTCTTGACACATTTACACGGTTTCCCTCTGTCAAGCAAACACGTTTTTTAGCAGTTCACGTGAATTTTGATGAAGTTTGTCATTGAAGCACGCGCATTCCTTTGTAGTGTGCCATCTAGTTTATAAATTGAAGAACGTTACAATGTTCCATCAATCATTTTGTTTCACAAGTTTTGCACTGAGCTATTTACATATAACCGTCCCTAAGTTTGAACTGATAGACTAGAAGGGAAACAACTACATCAAACTGTGGAATCTCACTGCCAATATAATACAAATACCAAGTGTGGAGTGAGATTTGGCGGCAATGGGACTTGAACCATGAATCTTCTAATTTACAGTCCGAGCACGCTAACCACTAGGCCATAATCGGTCTCTAGTGGTAGCAGGTTCTAATGTAATAGTCTAGTAAAGAAGTAACTTTGTAATTGCATTACAACCCTCTCCCTGGTTGAAAATACTAATTGAGTAGAATTAAGTTAGGCATACTATAGTTTGGGGAAGATTTTCCTTTACTTTAATTCCAAATGTCTATCGGGTACATAACACGCCAGACATGTATACAGTAGTCTTATTCAGTTAGCATCATCAGCAAGGAGTTCGTAAAGACTTCTCATGGTTATATATATTAAACAACTGGGTGGATGCCACACTTTTAACGATAATTCCTATAAGAGGTGAGATTTAATGATTTCATCTTGTAAAAATTAGATTTAATGATTCGACATACGTTTGTATGATATGGTTTCACCATTAATGACCCTTTAGCAATATTAGTATTTGATCTGGTTTCATCAGCAATGTTTTTGTGATTATGTTAGTGTTTGTTCTGGTTTCATCAGTAATGGCCCGGTGGTTATGACAGTGTTTGATTTGATTTCGTCAACAATGGTCCTGTTTTTATGTTAGTATTTGATCTGTATCATCTGGTTTCATCAGTAATGGTCCTGTTGTAATGAGTGTTAGATTTGGTTTCACCAACAAAGATCCTGTGGTTATGATAGTGTTTGATTTGGTTTCGCCAACAAAGATCCTGTGGTTATGATAGTGCTAGATTTGGTTTCGCCAACAAAGATCCTGTGGTTATGATAGTGTTAGATTTGGTTTCGTCAACAATGGTCCTGTGGTTATGATAGTGTTTGATTTGGTTTCGTCAACAATGGTACTGTTTTTATGAAAGTGTTTGATCTGTGTCATCTGGTTTCACCAGTAATGGTCCTGAGGTTTATGTTAGTATTTGATCTGTATCATCTGGTTTCATCAGTAATGGTCCTGTTGTAATGAGTGTTAGATTTGGTTTCACCAACAAAGATCCTGTGGTTATGATAGTGTTTGGTTTGGTTTCGCCGACAATGATGTTGTGGCTTTTACAGTGTTTGTGTGGTGTGTAAAATATTTTTGCGTTTTGAACTACTTGCTAAGTTTATTAACTACTTTCTACAGTTGTATCAGATTATACAGTTAACATACCTGTATAGAATCCTATTGGTTCTAATTACGCTACGTACGATTGTTAGTTTCCATGCTGGTCATTATATGAATGACAAACAAGCGGTAACTCGTAACTAGGTAACGGGATTGAATACAAAGTTTATAATGTCCCTAGAGTTGAGAATGTTGAGCGTTATGTCGATACTTGAACCTTGGACATAGTGATCCGACACCTGGTAAGCTAACCACTAGGCCAAACAACGTGACAAACAAAAATAATATATAAAACTTCTGTGAGAACATTCCAAAACTGCCATAGAACCTGAAGATGTATCTCAGAGCTAGATAATATCAGTTTTAAGTATCAAGCCCAATATGGTGATTTCTCTACAGTGACTAACTGTTATATAAAACAAGCTATAAAACTGTTCAAAAATTCACTCCCAAGCCATTGTGAAATGAGCTGTGAAGACAATTTTTCAAGGTCAAATTAACATAGTGTTTTAGTTAACTAATTCTAAACTAAGAAGGCTATTTTATATAAACAATTAACAATTTCTCTCAGGTTTCGTCCGAGAACTGATTAATCTCGGATTTCAGGATATCATAATGGCGGCTACTTCTGTCGGTATCCATGGGAACTTGGGAGTCCACAGGCACAATTATTACCCGCCTCCGACTCTTTCTAACGAAAAGACTCAACGTCAGATTTCCTACAGTGAAAGAGTCGCACTTAAGCCATCTATTACAACAGTTTCCATGGAAACAGTTGCCAATTCCTCGTGGATACTGCACGTGCAGCGTGATCAAGTGCTGTAGGCTGTCACCATAATATAGTCATCAAGTTCTCGTTTCATGATGCGGAAAGTGGTTGACTTTGGCCATATCTTAAACAAGTATGCGTAATAATTCTTGTATGATTGTGGAATAGTCTACGAGAGTTTCATTGAATGCTACGGATTAGGTTTTAGTTTCGATTTACATTTAATCAATGCTTTAGAGTATGTCATATACAGGAAATTCGAAAAGGAACTTATAAACTGAGCTCACCTTATGAGACGTGGACTAAACGGTCAGGTCAGAGACCTCTGAGGTTCGGGTACAGCTTTCTCTAAGTTAAAACTACTGACCAGATGTAGACGTTTTTTTCTGGTTCCTGTAACAGAATAACATGATTTATATTGGACCATGTCTAGCGGCATCACGTCTCGAATCTTAAACTCTACAAAATACAGCACGACGCGCTAACTAGCCATTAGACTATCTATGACTATACTACAAGATATTTCATCGTGGACGGAATTTAATAAACAATTAATTCATATCCTTCAGAGGAAACACACAGACAAGTCAACCTATACCATGCAGAGTAAACACACAGATAAATCACACAATACGAGGAAGAATACATAAAGAGATAAAATACTCGTTAACACACCAGAGGAAAGATTCAAGTCAACCTACAACATGCAGAGTAAACACACAAATAACTCACACAATTCTCAGAAGAATAAGGAAACAGACAAGTCACTCTTTAACCCAATAGAGCAAAGAAACAAGCCAACTATACCATGTAGAGTAAACACAGATAAACCACACAATACCATATGATAACAGCAGAATAAACAAACAGACAAGATACTCTCTAACCCAGTAAAGACACTGACAAGTCAACCTATACTATACAATACCACCAGAAAGAAAGAAAGAAACAGGCAAGTCACTTCTTACCATGGAGAGTACAGATAAAAGCCACTCTTTACCTTGCTTAGTATGGACACAAGTCACTCCTTACCCTGCACAGTACAGACACAAGTCTCTCTTTACAATGCAGAGTATAGACACAAATCACTCTTTACCCTGAAGAATATAGACACAAGTCACTCTTTACCCTGAAGAATACAGACACAAGTCACTCTTTACCCTGAAGAATATAGAGACAAGTCACTCTTTACCCTGAAGAATACAGACACAAGTCTCTCTTTACCCTGAAGAATACAGACACAAGTCACTCTTTACCCTGAAAAATATAGACACAAGTCACTCTTTACCCTGAAGGATACAGACACAAGTCACTCTTTACCCTGAAGAATATAGACACAAGTCACTCTTTACCCTGAAGAATACAGACACAAGTCTCTCTTTACTCTGCTCAGTACAGACACAAGTCACTCTTTACCCTGCACAGTACAGACACAAGTCACTCCTTACCCTGAAGAATATAGACACAAGTCACTCTTTACCCTGAAGAATACAGACACAAGTCTCTCTTTACTCTGCTCAGTACAGACACAAGTCACTCCTTACCCTGCACAGTACAGACACAAGTCTCTCTTTAACCTGCTAAATGCAGAAACAAGTCCCTCTTTACCCTGCAGAGTATAGACACAAATCAGTCTACATCCTGCTTAGTGTATATATATAAACAGGTCACTCCATACCGTGCAGAGATAGATTAAAATATGTTGTCACTCTTTATATATTTATAGGGAAAATGCTCGTTACTCTCCAAAGTATAGATATAAGAAAATATCAAAACATTCTTTTCCCTACAGAATATAGGTAAAAATACAAATCATAACTGGACCTTCATGGAATACATATAGAAAAATAAATTTTTACCCTGCAAAGTGTAGATTCAAACAAGGTACTCTTTTTCCTGTAAAAAACAGAAAACTATTTTTCTTTTACTCTTAACAGTATAGATACAAATAAGTTTCTCTGAATCCTGCAGAGTATAGATACAGGAAAACGCTTTTTACCCTGAAGAATATACATACAAACAAGTAATATTTACCCTGCGGTGTATAGGTACATAAATACAAACAAGCCACTCTTTACTCTGTACAGTATAGACACAAACAATCCACTCTTTACTCTGTACAGTATAGACACAAAAAAAGTCCCTCTTTACTATACACAGTATAGACACAAACAATTCACTCTTTACTCTGCACAGTATAATCACAAACAAGTCACTCATTACTCTGCACAGTATAGACACAGACAAGCCACTTTTTACTCTGCACAGTACAGACACAAAAAAGTCCTTTTTTACTCTGCACAGTATAGACACAAAAAAAGTCCCTCTTTATTCTACACAGTATAGACACAAACAATTCACTCTTTACGCTGCACAGTATAATCACAAACAAGGCACTCATTACTCTGTACAGTATAGACACAAACAAGTCACCTTTTACTCTGTACAGTATAAACACAAACAAGTCACCTTTTACTCTGTACATATATACACAAACAAGTAACTCATTACTCTGTACAGTATAGACACAAACAAGTCACCTTTTACTCTGTACAGTATAAACACAAACAAGCCACTCTTTACTCTGTACAGTATACTCACAAACAAGTCACTCATTACTCTACATAGTGTAGTCACAAACAAGTCACTTATTACTCTGCACAATATATACACAAACAAGTCACTCATTACTCTGTACAGTATAGACACAAACAAGTCACCTTTTACTCTGTACAGTATAAACACAAGCAAGCCACTCTTTACTCTGTACAGTATACTCACAAACAAGTCACCTTTTACTCTGTACAGTATAGACACAAACAAGTCACCTTTTACTCTGCACAATATATACACAAACAAGTAACTCATTACTCTGTACAGTATATACACAAACAAGTCACTCATTACTCTGTACAGTATAATCACAAACAAGCCACTCTTTACTCTGTACAGTATAATCACAAACAAGTCACTCATTACTCTGCACAGTGTAGTCACAAACAAGTCACTTATTAATCTGCCCAATATATATACACAAACAAGTCACTCATTACTCTGTACAGTATAGACACAAATAAGTCACTCTTTACCCTGTAGAAACACACACGCATGTCAGATTTGTTTCTTAAATAAATCACTTAGAATACCACATATGATTCATCACCAGAATAGTAACCGTGAATTTGTTGCTGGTAAGGCGTTTCCCATTAGGGAACGACTTTTATCCTCATTTATTCTGGAATCTGCATATATTCACATGTTCATTGATATCTTCTCAAGCGTTTCGTTTATTTTGAGTGAGCTAATTAAGCGTCTTGAATATAGTCCAAGACTGCTGTTTTATCTCACGTAAAAATCTTACCCCAGAGAGTTTGTTTTTTGTTACATTGGCAAACTAGAGAGAACGTCGACGTGAAATCTTAGAAATCCCATTATTTAGCGATAGTTAAAATATTTTTCTTTCTTCATGGAGTATCCAAAAAGCAAGAAATAGTTTCTCTCAATTACCAACTTTTAGAACTAGATACGTGTAAAAAATTTAACAGTGATAAATTTAACAGTAAAAACCGGCACGTCTACACAACCAGAAACAAAAGCTTGTGCACACACGAAAGAAAGAGCATTAAATCTTCGTTATCTCAAGTCAACAATGAACGGCAAGAAGAAGAACCTTCGTCAAATATATGGTTCCAAGCCTTAAGAAAAGAACCTACAACCAAATAATCTTTCTTCTACTACTTTCCAGTAAATCTTAGATACCCATACCAAACCTAATAATCCTTCGTTTATTATATCACCGTCACCCAAGATACACATACCAAACCTAATAATCCTTCTTTTATTATATCACCGTCACCCAAGATACACATACCAAACCTAATAATCCTTCGTTTATTATATCACCGTCACCCAAGATACACATACCAAACCTAATAATCCTTCTTTTATTATATCACCGTCACCCAAGATACACATACCAAACCTAATAATCCTTCTTTTATTATATCACCGTCACCCCAAGATAACCACACCAAACCAAGTAATCATTATCTTTAGTGTTTCCACTTCACATCAAATTAAGTAACCTTTACATGTAATGTTTCCACTTCACCTCAAGGTAACCACATCAAACCAAGTAATCCTTCTTTAAGTATTTCCAATTCACTCCAAGTTACACAATCCAAATCAAATAATTATTTTCAACTGATAACTAGTTATACTTGTCCTCATAGTCTCATCACGGTTCAACTACCGCCATGTCAGCAGGTTTTGGTTCTGTGGCTCTGCTTCTTAGCAAATAATGTTCTATTTCTCTGCCGCTAATGATAAACAACAGTCCACTACTCTCTACTATTTCTCACCCATCCCTAACAAATAATAGGTTACTGCTCACTTGTGATAAGTTATGTTTTATTAACCGCCACTTCTGACAAATTATGATCATATTCCCAAGCTAACCTCTCATGAATAATTCCAACAGTGCTTTTCACTTCCCACTCCTCATCCACTGTTCACAAGTAATACTTATACCCTTCACCTATTACTTACAAATTTTGATTTCATTATCCACCCTCTGCTGACAAATAATAATTTACTCCTCATCTACTGCTGAAAAATAATAATTTACTGCTCACCTACTGCTGACAAATAAAACTTCTACTTCTCATCCACTACCTATAAATAATCGTTTATCTCACCCACTTATCATTCTTTATCCACAACTCACAAAATAAAGGTTCTAAGGCTTACCAATTACTGATAAATAATCATTTACTTCTCCCCACTGCCGAAAAATAATGGTTCTATTTCTTATCCGCTGTTGACAAATAATGACTTAATTTCTCACCCATTACTTACAAATAATGGTCCCATTTCTCACCCATTACTAACAAATAATGGTTCCATTTCTCACCCATTACAAACAAATAATGGTTCCATTTCTCACCCATTACTAACAAATAATGATTCCATTTCTCACCCATTACTAACAAATAATGGTTCCATTTCTCGCCCATTACTAACAAATAATGGTTCTATTTCTTACCCATCATTAACAAATAATGGTTCTATTTCCCACCCATCGCTGACAAATAATAGTTCTATTTCTGAACCATCACTAACAAATAATGGTTCCATTTCTCACCCATTAGTAGCAAATAATGGTCCCATTTCTCACCCATTACTAACAAATAATGGTTCCATTTCTCACCCATTACTAACAAATAATAGTTCCATTTCTCACCCATTACTAACAAATAATGAATTCATTTTTGACCCATTACTAACAAATAATGGTTTCATTTCTCACCCATTAGTAGCAAATAATGGTCCCATTTCTCATCCATTACTAACAAATAATGGTTCCATTTCTCACCCATTACTAACAAATAATG